ATGTGGTGCTGGGGGATTGAACCGTGGTCCCTGTGCTTTGCCAAGCTTGTTCCAAGTAGGTGCTTTAGACCACTGAGCCATCTCACCAGCCCCTAAAAAAACTTTAAATGAATGGAGTAGGGCATCTGACTGCATCCCATTTAGGTACATTTACAATTTGCTTCTATTTATTCTCCTCCAAACTTCACTGCAAAGATCACTGCAGGTGTGAAGGATGGTTAAGTACAAGGAGAATTCAGGCAGGACATGTGATGAGCCGTGTGGACACCCTTCCGGAAAAGGTGAGGCCATGGTGCAGGTTGCAGAGTGACTTCCATAACCTGCTCTTTAACCTTCCTGTGCACACACCGCGTGCCAAGCACGTACACACCGCACACAGGTGTGCGCACACATTTGCCCTTATGTAGCTTCTTCCCGCCCCCCCAGCTTCTTTTTGCATTCATTCTTTATGTGATTTTCCTGATGGTACAAGAACAGTAACAGTGCCACAGGTCCAGTGAACATTTGCTGTGGGTTTTGGTGTGCCATTTGCCATGTTACAATCTATTATTTCATCTGTGCATCAACTGGGTGGATTATTATTATTATTTTCAGGTGAAGAAACTGAGGCTTGAAAAATTAACTAATATGCTTGTCTTCTCCCTAGTAAGAGGAGTTTGGGTTCTGAGCAGGGCCTCTGACTTGCTGGAGAATCCAAGCTCTTCCTGCTAGACTTACCAGCCTCGCCCCTTATTACTTTTCTTCTGGGCTATTTGTATTTTGCAAAAGGTCTTTGTGTTTTCATTGCAGGTCCTCAGAGGAGGCAGGGTCAGAGGTCACCTGCCTTCCTGTCAAGGCCAGGCTGAACATAGGTCCAGGCAGTCACCACACAGGGGCGTGGGCAGTTCCAACCCCACACAGAGGCCCGCAAGGCTGTGTGGACTTCACTCCACCAGTGAAAGAACAGGAGTGACTCACAGGAGGAAGATGAAGAGACCGTATTTCCGGGTGTCCGCTGTATACACCAACAGTCCAAAGTCACTTGAGAAGAGGAGAATCTGTTGCAGAGTGTGATAGGAGCTTCAGACACCACACAGATGAGGCCCGCCCCTAGTGGCCTGGACAGGCCCAGCAGCCAGAGCCCCCAAAGCCACAGCTGCACTCCCTTGGGAAGGAGGAAGAGGTAGCCCTGAAGAAGCAGGTAAGGAGCCTGAGGGGGGCACGGAGGGGCAGGCAGGGGGCCCCAAGTCCCAAGAGGCAGCAGAGCAGGTGAACTCTGGCCTCTGAGGCAGCTTCTCTGGGCCTCACTTGCAAGGTCACGTCACCATGTTGAGCCTCAGCTTCCCTATGTTCGAGATGGATATAAAAGCAATCACGCCAGAGAAGTGCTAAGCACCGGCTGTGCTCTGCTGGGCAGGTTACAGACCCTTCCTCCAGTCACCTTGTGAGGGTTGCTCTCTTTCACAGAGAAAAGCAAAGTTCAGAGACATTAAGCCATTTGTTCAAGATGAGCAAAAGAGCCCTGTTTCAAAGCCTGCACACCTTTTACTCCCCATTCTACTGCCTTCACTGAGTGGTTTTAGAGAATCAAATGACCTTATGCAAATAGAAACAGGCATTGACTGTCTAGATGTGTTGCCAAACTTAGACTCTAGCACAGACCAGGACCTTTTGTAGCTGTGAAGGGCTATTGATTGATCACAAGGCCAGTCCGCCTCTCTGCCATGCTGAAGTGGACAATGAAGAGGAATTGCCATGGACAGTTCATACAGGCGGTGGCTTCTTAACAAACCAAGGTGGGGCAGGGTTTTGAGTTCGCTGTTGCGTAGCTGGCCAGGCCTGGCTGAGGGATGGGACAGACGCACTGGAACATGGCTCCTGCAGAGACTGAGCTCTGATCAGCAGTCCTGGAACTATGGAGGCCCCGACCCAGCTCCACTGATGAGAGCTCCAGTCACCGCCTCAGCCTTTGAACAGCCTGTTACAGCTTTGGCCACAGATATTCGGAAAATGTAGATCTGATTTGAAGGAAAGGGGAAGATCTCTAAGGCTAGTAAGACGAGCTGACTAGAGTTAGAATCTTCAGGTAAGAGAATTAAAACAAACAAACAAACAAACAAACAAACAAACAAACCAGAAAACCTGTGCAGTTTTGCCTCTGGAGATAGCTACTGTTGACATTTGCTTGTGTTTCCAGATAGTTTTTCCATTGCATACATATTTTTGAAAATAAGATTGTGCTGTAATATGGTTTTGTTACTAGTTCTTTTTCTTAATGACATTATATCATAGACATATTTTCATATTAATACTTTATCATTTTATTTTATTTTATTTATTTTTGCGGGACCGGGGATTGAACTCAGGACCTTGTGCTTGCCAGGCAAGTGCTTATTCTACTGAGCTATCTCCCCAGCCCCTACTTTATCATTTTAAAGGCTTCAGAACAGAATTTGCTTAGTGTTCCTTATTGGATAATGAGGGAATTGACTATAATTCATCATTACTGTAGAACTTCTGTGAGCATCTCTGTAATCAAATCTTTGCATGGATCCTTCCTTGATTATTTCCAGGGGATTCATTTCCAGGGAAGGAGGTACTCAGTGAAGGTTATATACATTTTAAGACTCTGGATAGGGGGCTTGTGGGTTAGCTCAGTTGTTTGAGTGCCTGCTTGTGCAAACCCAGTCAGGCACAGGGCACTGTGGTTTGATTCCCAGCTCCACATGCCTTACCAGACCTGCCCTTAAAGCAGCCTGAGCCAGCATCCCCCCCCGCCAAAAAAAAAAAAAAGAAATCCTTCCTAAGACTTGGTATAAGCACTGCAGTTCTATTTCTGACACATGCTGGAATTTAGGAGTGCTGCAAAGCTTGCTGCAGAAAACTTTTTCATTACTTTTTTTTTGTATTTTAGGGAAGGGTCTACAGGGTGTTCAGGGTCTCACTACTAGATTGAACTGGTAGTGATTGCCTGTTTATAGCCTCCTAAGAGCTGGGATTACAGGTGCATGCCACCACGCCCAGTCTCAGGGAGTGGGGTTGGGGGTGTGATCAAACCCCCAGCGCCTGGGCCTGCTTGCAGGCACTTTAATCTGCTGAACCATTTGGTTGGCCCTTCTCATGTTTTTTTTTTTTTTTTTTTTATGACAGTGTCTCCCTTTGTGCTTCAGGGTGGCTTTGAAGTCACTGCCGCCCAGGCTGGCCTAACACTTGTGGGGATCCTACTGCCTCAGCCTCTCATAGGCATGCTCCACCATGCCTAACTTTCTCATAGCTTTGAAGTCAACTATAACCATTTCACTTTCTTAAATCCAACTTGAAGTAATAACACTGACTTCCTTATACTGTGCTTACTTTAGTTTTTGTTGGGTGCTGGGCGCTGGGCTCTATCTAAAAGCTTCGGTGCTTTTTCTTCCGTTCTCAAGGAGGAATGCAGGTGCAGGGAGGTTAAGTAGTTCAATTGGAACCACGGCTCTAACAAGCAAGAGTGACTCTGGGCTCCTGCACCTTACAAAGTTGGTACCAGAGTGCATATACTGGCTCTCAAGAGGGCCACTGCTTATTGGGAAGTGGCTTCAATTTTGCCTCCCCACATGTCTTTTATGTCATCCATCTGTTTTATTTTTTCTCCATTCTCACCTGGCCTATATCACACATCATCATCACATGCCTGAACCACAGTGCCACAGGCCCAAACTTACCTGCTACTCCTAATCCTGTCTCTCTCAGTCTGTCCTCTTCTCAGTTGCTGGAGTGGCTTTTCTAAAATGAAAATAAATTTCCCTTTTCTCAGAGTAAATTCCAGCTGAGCTCTGGAGCTCCAAGTCCCACCTCGCACCCTCTGATCACATCCCAATCCCTGTCCACCCTGACTCCTCCATAGCCACCACCTGTCACCCTGGCCAAACTAGTGGAACTGTTCCCTCTGTCTTGCTCCCCTCCATGCTGCACAGCTAGATTCTTTCCATCCTCTAGGCTCAGTTTCCTTCCGTATCACCTCTTGGGAGGAACTTTCCATTTCAAGCCCATTTTCTTTTTGTCTGTCTCTGTCTTTCTCCTTTTTTTTTTTGGCTCCGAATGCCTTCAGGGCAGGTTTGGCTGGTTTGAGTTGGGGGGATCAAACCACAGCAACCTGAGCCTAACTACTTTGTGGTTTTTTTTTTTTTTTTTTTGGCAGAACTGGGGATTGAACTCAGGCCCTTGCACTTGCCAGGCAAGCGCTTATTCTACTGAGCCATCTCCCCGGCCCCTGACTGCTTTGTTGAAGCAGCCACTTAAAGAACTGAGCTAAGGGGCAGGATCCCCTTTCTCCTTTTTTGTGGGGAGCAGTTTTGGGACTTCAATCCATAGGCCCTTGGTACATCCTCAGCCTTTTCTATTTTTTATTTTTATGACAGGGTTTCCTTAATTTACTCAGTTGCTCAGGCCAGGCTCAAACTTGCAACCCTTAGGCTCTACTTTCCACTCTACTTCCCGGAGTACTGGGATTATAAGCACATGCCACCACACACAGCTCCCTCTTCTTCTTTTCTCCTTTTTCCCCTTCCCATCTTCCCCTCCCCTCTGCTTCGCCTTCTTTCTCTTTTCTGAGGTGGGGTCTTGGCACCCTCACTTCCGACTTTCCCTTTTGTCCCTTATAGCCTTCATTAACGTGTTTCCTTATTGTCCATTACACACTAAATGTCTCTGTGCCCTACCAGCCTCTAAATACCATGGGGTCAAAGTTGATATCAGTTTTGTTTTCCTTTATTTACCCAATCCCTAGCAGAGCCCCTGGTGTGTTGCAAGTACTCAGTAACTGCTAACCAGATGAATGGTCTTCTGAAAAAAGCACTGGTGTGGGGTGTGGGCTTTGGCTAGGCCTTAGGTGTCAACTATGTCAGGATAGATGGTGTCTAAGGGAGGTGCTTTACTCCCAAATCTCCCCTTGCACAGTTCCTATATTCCCACCTCAAGAGTCTTTTGGCCGTGAAGCCTCACCTGATAAAATGCAAATGTTTTTCCCTATTAACACACATCCACCCGGGGGACTGAATGGAGGCAGGGTCTCTTTACTAAGACAGCAGTACACTGGTAGGCTGGGACTCTGAAGACAGTGTCACAGCGTCACTAAGACTAGCTGGGTAAGGGGCCGGGAGATGGCTCAGTAGAATAAGTGCTTTCTTGGCAAGTGCAAGGGCCTGAATTCAATCCCTGGTTCTGAGAAAAAAAAAAAAAAAAAAGACTAGCTGGGTAACATCTGTCTCCACATGTGAAGTGTGTATTAGGACAGACAAGTGGTTTATAAGCACTTCCCCCCAACAGGGCCACTCTTCATGGAGCTTAAATGATGCATGTGAGAAGCAGGTAAAAGCAAGTGTTTCTGGCTGAAACAGGGATGTGAGGCTGGCATGCTTCTCCCTCCCAAATGTAAATCCTCAAGGTCAGCAGGACAGTGTGCTCTGGAACTGAAAGATCTCAGCTGCTGACCACCTGTGTTCCAGGAACAAAGCAGAAGGCAGCCAGGTTTACCTTCTCTGGTTGCAGCTACTTAGGCACAGAAAAGACCAGAAAGAAATGAAGAGGACTTGTTGGATCTGATTTGGCTGTGAAGTAGGTGAATTTCTTAGTAATAGAAGTGCAGGACCCAAGGCTCCTTATGTGGGGAAGAGGTTCCAACCACTTTAGAAATGAGACCCCAAGAGAGGTAAGCCACCAAGAGAGAGGAAGAGACAGGAAGACAGTCTCCCCATGATCTAGAGAGAGGAAATTGCCACCCTCACCTTTCTGGGACAGGGATTTCAGATCTGGAAAGAGCCACATGGTCTTCTAGATATTTGGCTTCTGAGTTTGATTGGTTGCCACACCTAAGGTGTGGGGGTGAAACTCAGGTCCCCTGCCTCCCAGCCACGACGCAGGCGCAGGTGGCTCTCTAGCCTTGACTCCACGCAGGTGTGCTCAAAAGGCTCTACAGCCTGGGCCACCTGGCAGCTCCAGGTGCTGTGAGTGCGCTGCCATGGAGACGGCCCCGTCGTCGGTGGTGAGAAGGCTGCAGATCCAGGAGAGGGAGAGAGGGACAGCACGGAGCCTCAGCCCTCCAGAGCAGTCTGCCCGACCATCTTAGCACCCTAGGAAGCCCAGGTGGGTGCCCTGAAGGTCCCCCAGCACAAAATAGTGTGGAGGAGGAGCCAGGGGAGGCTGAGTCTACTGGGAAAAGGCTCTGGAAGGGCTGATCTGGGGACTTGGGCAGGAAGACTTCCCAAGGTTTCCAGGTCAAGAAGCTTTAGCAGGGGCTTCCTGAGCAGGTTAATCTGAAGCCTGACCCAGGGGCCTCTGGAGGGTTTGCCCTATTGCCCACAGGGAGGAGGGAAAAAGGGCCTAAAACCCACCTCTGCCCTGGTTAGGGATTTGCAGTATGGAGCAGGGAAAGAAATATTTGTTCTCCAGCAAAAACCACAGAGTGTGTCTCAGCTTTCTTTTCCCTAGACTACAAGGCAGCCAAGGGTGAACACACTGAGCACGGGAGGCATTTGCAGGCATCGCCACAGGCTGATGCCACTTTCCCCACTGATGCCAGCTCATTTAGGACCACTGGTGGGTCAATGTAGGTCTTCCACTGATGCAGGGGTAACTGTATCTTAGGTTGAACTTTAAGGTGTGGAGACTGGGTGATGTGGGACAAGATGCTTTGGAACCCAAGCTTCTTCATCTGAAGTGTGGGTGGAACTTCAACCCACTCCAGAACTCAGCTCAGACCAAGCACAGGGACAGAGCTTCATGGGTGTGACTGTGCCCCTTTCTCTCTGCCAGCACAATCTCTCAGAGGCCTCCCGGATGGCTGACCGACAGGGGCGTGAGCTGGTGGCTGAGTGCCCTGTCTGCTGGAACCCCTTCAACAACACGTTCCACACCCCCAAGGTGCTGGACTGCTGCCACTCTTTCTGTGTGGAATGCCTGGCCCACCTCAGCCTGGTGACTCCTGCCCGGCACCGCCTGCTTTGCCCACTCTGTCGCCAGCCCACTGTCCTGGCCTCAGGGCAGCCAGTCACTGACTTGCCCACAGATACTGCCATGCTGACGTTGCTCCGCCTGGAGCCCCACCATGTCATCCTGGAAGGGCGTCAGCTCTGTCTCAAGGACCAGCCCAAGAGCCGCTACTTCCTACGCCAACCTAGAGTGTACACACTGGACCTTGGCCCCGAGCCTGGGAGCCAGACTGGGTCCTCCCAGGACACGGTCCCTGCTACCGGAGCCAGGCCCCTCCCCACCCCCAGCCACTACTCTCTAAGGGGATGTTTCCGCAACCCTCAGTTTCGGATCTTTGCCTACTTGATGGCTGTCATCCTCAGTGTCACTCTGTTGCTCATCTTCTCCATCTTTTGGACCAAGCAGTTCCTTTGGGGTGTGGGGTGAGTGCTGTTCACAGACAAGGAACAAGCTGCTGGGGAAGGGGGCTGCATATCCTCATTTGGCCTTGTCCTCTTTCATAGTATTGCTCACTTTTCAAGCCAGCAGTGGATGTTAGGGCATGTTTGCTTCTGGGAACAGAGAAGGCCCCATTGTAATGAGGGTGGTGGTAGGGGAGAAAACCCCAAAGTTGAAGGATTAGGGGACATTGAGACCTCCTGGTGTGAACCATGGCGTCATGGAGGACCGAGAAGTGGTACTATGGATACAGAGTCACAGAGAAAATTGTGCCAAAGGGCTGTACAATGGTATCCAGGAACCTGGTTAGCTCAAACAGCAAGTTGTTTCTCAAAGGAGCTGCTTTGGACTCAGTTCATGTTTTTATTATGTGTTGTTAAAAATTTTGAAAAATGAGTTACAACTCTGTGGGCAAATGAGCTTGTCTCCACTTCCAACTCTTGGATGTCTTGTTACAGTCCCAGTAAGATGGTCTGCATTAATTCATTTATTCATTCCACAAAAATTGTTTGGGAGGGCTGGGGAGATAGCTTGGCTGTCTAAGTGGCTGCCCAGCAAGCGCAAGGACCTGGGTCCGATCTTTGGGTACTGTATGCCATGCCAGCCTAAAACCAGGCATGGTGGCACACACCTGTAACCCCAGTGCTGGGGAGGCTGAGACAGGAGGATCACTATGAGCTGGAGCTGCATAGTAAGACCTTGTACAAAATAAATGAATAAACAAATAAAGACTAAAAAAAATTTTTTTTTAAATGGGAAGATGCAGAAGGAATAAGATACCTAGGAGTGACAGATGGGCTCTAGCAGCTGGAAGGGGACATTCATTCAGCAGCTTGTTATGTAAGACAACCTTTTGTCAGCATGTAGCTTTTGGAGTGTTAGGGGATAAGAACTTAATGATGGAAGAAGCCAGCCAGGATCACTGAATTAAGGATCTAGAATTTGGAGGAATAGACCTTCAATTCTGGTAGTAGGTGCAGAGGTCCCCACTAGAGTACAGAGCAGAGCTTGGACTCCACTCCTGCTAGTACTGTAATTCTGGCTTCAAGAGGCAAGACAAACTCCTGACAGAGGCGAAACCTTAGCTCCAGTCCCAGGCCAAGTAGGTAGGTGGGCCTGGTTTTCACTTTACACAACAGAATCTAAGAACAAAGTAATAGAATGCTAATGATCAGGCTGCTGCTGGGCAGACTGCCACCTTCAGTCTAAAATCAACTTCAGCTTCCCTAGCTTTTACCTGGCCTAGTGACTCAGGGCTCGGAAACAATCCACATATGGCTAAAACATCACAATTATGAAAAAGTAACACTTTGTGGGTTTTAAGAAATTGTATAATAAACTACCATAGGGCAGAACTTGAGTCAGTTTTACTTTTTAAAGTTCAATGGAGGGGCTGGAGAGATGGCTCAGTGGTCTAAAGCACCTACTTAGAACAAGCTTAGCTAAAGCACAGGGACCGCGGTTCAATCCCCCAGCACCACATGCCAGCCAGCCCCGCCCCCTGGTGGGCTGAGCTGGCCACACACACACTAAATAAAATGTAAAAATAAATAAATGAAAAAAAAAATAAAGTTCAATGGAAAAAAAAAGTTCAATGGAACTGTATAAATGCCTCTTAGGGTCTCAATATATGGGATGTATGTGTTGCATTTAACAAAAAGATAAGACTTTTAAACTCTGAAGTGAGGAAAAACTCCATTACGAAATTGGAAAGCTGCAATGTATCCCACCAGGGACAAGCATCTGTCTCTCCGTTTCACCGTCAAAGATAATTACAGACGCTGGGACTCCCTCTCCCCACGGACTTCATTTCTTCACGTCTGCGCTCCTTAACTTTGTGGGAGGTTAAGTTAGGCAGTGATCTCACCACTGCTGTCTGGGCTGAGGGAAAGGCTCCAGCAGCTTAGTGCAGGGTACAGAGAAGAGCCAAGGGATGCCAGAAGGGACATGGGCCTCTGCAGAATGGCCTGCTGGCCTAAGTAACTTTACTCCCAGCTCAGCTGCCTTTAAAGCCACCTTGCTAATTAGCAGTACAGACTCAAAGTGGAACTTTTCTTCTTGGAGTGGTTGCTGTACCCCCGAATAAGATACAGGTCTGAGTTAATTCATATAGCAAAGATATACTTAATATCACAGCATCTTTTTTTGGGTACTGGGCATTGAATTCAGAACCTCACGCTTCCCAAGCAGGCACTTATGCCACTGAGCTATCTCCCCAGCCCAGCATCTTCTATTTTCATTTCCACTCACAGGGCATTCGGAAATGTGCAAGAACACCTTTGGTACTCAACAGAGTATTTCTGTGTTTAGCAAAAAGACCAGGGACACCTGGGCCCTGCTGCTATGCTCGATTGTGTTACCCCATTGTTGAGTAACTGTGCTGCTCCTCCGCTCCCAAGGCAGCAAAAGGGAAATTAGTTCCAGTTGGCATGTCATTTGACATATCGATAGGGCAGTGTTACAAAAGTGACTTCATTAGGGGACTGGGGAGATAGCTCAGTAGAGTAAGCACCTGGCCGGCAAGTGCAAGATACTGAGTTCAATCCCCAGTACCACAAAAACAAAAAACTGACTTAGTATAGGCCATAGTCCCTGCAATGGTCTTACTGCCAGGGTGGCCAATATACTCAGCCCTATAGAACCTCTTCATAAGATCACACATGGTTAAACAGACCAGGGAATAAACTATGATTGTGAGGGTCAAATAGTATGTCTACATGGGCCTCGTACGTTATATATGCATGAAGTATTCCTTTAAGTGGCAACTATGATGTCATGATTTCATGACAGTCATTATGAAAATCTACATCTGGCTTTGGGTTTCTCAGCAAACCATTTCCTACAATGATGTCTGAAGAAATGGTTATCCCACCAGACAACCTACCAAAGGGTTAGGCAACATTTTTGCCCAAATGTTACCCTTTTGGGATCACCAGAAAACACTAAGGGAGTAGTAAAATTCAAACCTGAGAAACTTAAAAACCATTGTCAGTATACTATATCTAAGTTGTAGAACTCAGTATCCAACAGGGGACAGACAGATTAGGGAATTCTCAAGCTTAGCCCCTACACAGAAAAATGCAACTACTTGGTTATAATTCAAATCAGAAGGATTTTTGTCTTTTTTCTTTGGCAAGATCAGGCTGCATTGAGGGCGAATCTGGTGCTGCTGCTTGTGGAGCTTGGGATCGAACTCCGGTACCCTGTGGCTGATTTTGCCCCAGTAGGTGCTTTAAACAACTGAGCTAATTGGGAAGTCCTATAATTCAAATCACGTTAAAAGCAGTACACTGGGCTATACTCACACATTCCTAATTTGCAGAAGAGGAAAAGCTGTCCTCAGTCTCTCTGAACAGCAGGTCTGTGTAGTTCAAGCTAGGCTTGAATTCATTATGTAGCCCAGGTTGACCTTGAAATTCTGGTGGTCCTCCTGCCTCAGCTTCCTAAATGCTGGGATTATAAGCATATACCACCAGAGCCAGCATTAAAAGTTTTGAATACCAAAGGCTATTATAAAGCTTTAATTCTCCTCTGTACGTACTCTTTTTCTGAATTTTATGTGCAAACTTGCTATCATTTCAGAGTCCACAGGATGTATATCCAGTGTGGAAAGAGGTGGAAGTTATCACTACACACTTGCTGAAAATTATGGAGTCCCACACAGCTGTTAGCCTGGCCCATGAGGCCAACAGCCCTTGCCCTCTGCCTAAAAGGACAGATAACAGAGTGCTTACCCAGGAGACCAAAATTTGAGTAACCCATGTCTCAAATCATTCTAGATTAAAACCAAACAAAATAGACCTCCTTGGATTAAGGTCTATGAATCAGAAAATGCTTAACTTCAGTTTTTTTATGGGGGTTGTTTTTGGGTGCTGGGGATTGAATCTAGGATTTTATATACTCTATCTGTAGCCTCCTAAAAAAATTTTTTTTTTTCTAAAAAATTTTTTTTAAAGAATCTTTTTTTTTAATGGTAGGATTTTGCTGTTACCAAGTATGTAAGAAAGAGAAGAAGGTTCATATGTAGGAATGCCCACTAGAGATGTTTTTGTTATTTTTGACATGAAGTACCCTTTAATACATGAAGTACATCCTTTAACCATCTGAAAGGAAGCTGTACAACAGAGCTGTACAATTCCAAAAATTTCTTTGAATCCTGACACAGTGGCTGCGCTTTAGGGTAACAGGAAGAATGCCAAACTTGAAAGACGTCTTCTAACCAATGCTTGGTTCCAAGTTTCCTGATGCAATCAGCACTTCAAGTAAATTCTACAGCAAGTGTCCAGGCTTCTTTCCTGCATGATCACCAGTTTAGCTGCAGTCTGCTGCCTCACTTCTCATTCTGATGAATGGGGCTCACTGTCAGGTCAGGCACTGTTCAACCAGTGAGTGGTAAGACACTCTTCCTGGGTTTCCAGAATACAGTCCAGACAGCTTGCTCGCTGGATGGCTCACGTGCAGTCCTGAGGCATGCGCCATGAAAAGCAAGTTTTTGAGAACTAAAAATGGATAGTAGTCACAATTTTGAGTGCTGTGAGGAAGATGGTAGAACATTTAAATGTAATTAATAAAAATCATGTCTATATAGTTCTCTGAAAGGCCTGAAGATGAGAATTTAATTTTCAACCTCAAAAGGGGTTTGCCATCATGTAGGGCTAGGCTGCCCACTTGGGAGCTGACAGGAAATTTCTTTTTTAGTGGAACCGGGGCTTGAACTCAGGTCCTTGTGCTTGCCAGGCAAGCACTTACTCTACTAAGCCATCTCCCCAGTCCATAGGAAAATCAATTCTACTGAGCATCTATACTTGCTAATTGGCAGGAAACATGATAGAACAAATAAAATGCATCAATTCTTTTCTTTTGAAGAATATGGCTCCTAAAGGGCAGCCTGAGGTGAGTTCTTCTGCCATGGACTTGCCTATTCAGCCATCCAGAGTTTGAAGGTCCTATCATATGAGCACGTGGCTATGAGCTGCCCATCAGAAGAAATGTCCAGGCCCATCACTTTGCCTTCGTGGCCTGCCAGGGTCTTCAGTGGGGACCAGCCAGGGTGGGTCCAGATCTTGGCTGTGTTGTCGTAGGCGCCGGTGAGCAAGAAGTTCCCATGGATAGCTGTGGGACAGAATAAAGGAAACTGTTGGCAGGATTCCAGCATTCAAAAGAGCTTAAGAGGGGTCAGGGAGATAGCTCAGAGGTATAAGTGCCTGCCTGACAAGTTGAAGGTCCTGAGTTTGATCCCTGGTACCCCCCCACCCCCAAATAAAGCAGGACTATTCAAAAGAGTTTAAGAAAACAAAAGCATAAAAATCTGCCCAGGCATACTACTACTTTGAAAAAGAAGGAATTTTTATATTCAGAAAGACTCAACTTGCTAATTTTATATTCCTACTAGGTTTCTAGGAAAAAGGGACAACCACAGGTAGACTACAGAGAAAAAAATAACTTTATTAAGAACTTAAGGCTCGGGGCTGGTGAGATGGCTCAGTGGTCTAAGGCACCTACTTAGAACAAGCTGAGCTAAGCAAAACACAGAGACCGCGGTTCAATCCCCAGCACCACATGCCAGCCAGCCCGCCCCCTGGTGGGCTGAGCTGGCCACACACACACAACATAAATAAATAAATAAAAAAATCTTTAAAAAAAAAAAAAAGAACTTAAGGCTCTTTCCCAGGTAGATAATCAGATATAGTAATATTAACAATACAGTGTTAGGAATATCCATGCAGGTAAGAATGGAGCAAAGCATTCATGAAGTCTACTTCCTGGTAACAAGGATTCTTTAGCATAGCTTAGTGTAGGAGTATGGCACAAAGGAAGGGAATTCTAATTTGCTTCTTTAACAGAGATCAAATTATACTCTGTTGCACTTTTAAGCTAAGCTAAAACATGGCCTGTTTTCCATGGAAGCACAATTTTTGTCTGCTGTTTAGGCCTAAAAGAGGAGGAAAGCTTACGCTCAAACTTGACCCCAGTCACTAAGTTCTGATGGGCAGGGATCGTATAGATGCAGCGCCGCTGCCGGAGGTCCCACACTTTGCAGGTGTTGTCACCACTGCCTGTTGCAATGTGGTAGCTGTGGATCAGATGCATTATCAAAGTTAGAAACAAATAGTACTGTCAAAAGAACCCTCTCAACCCTAAATTGGCAAGTTCACTTACCCATTAGGGGAGAAGCTTATTCCATAGATTTCCTTTAGATGGCCTTCTAGGAACATGATGCAACGTCCTGTACGCAGGTCCCAAACTCGACCAAAAGCATCCAGTCCCCTGACGAGGTAATACATAAACACTGAAGCCACTCCTCTGTGGAAGCAGGCTCACATCAGAGGGAAGACTACTGAGCTGCCCTTGGTTTTGCTGAAGCTGCCTTACCCAGTGCCTGCTAAAGAGCCATCTTGATGGAAGGCAATGTCATATACACCCATGCTGTGGCCCTCCTGATGCAGGATCTCCTCTTGAGCCTCCAAATCCCATAAGCGCCATGAGCGATCATAGCTTTAGAAAAACAAAACCAAACCATACCTCAGTCAACGAGCAAAATGCTTCAATTTCCACAAGGTGTTATAAATAACTGTAGCATATTAACTTATGCCTGTGAAACTGTTCAGCCATATTAATAAGAAATTCCTTTCTGGCAATATACAATGCTTCCACAACTAAGCCTATCCGTCTTCGGTACTAAATAGAAAGACTTCCTATTAATCCACTCTACCAGCTAACTTAGAATTCTTAAGAATAGATCAGTGAAGAGTCTATTGCCTTTTTTCTTTCCTCATCCTAGTCATAGTCTTCATTCACTGAATCTAGATACAGTGGATGTTGGGCATACAGAAATCAAATAGATCAATGGAAGGGAGCAGAGTACAGAAATAGACCAAGATAAGTATACAGACAGTCCATTGTTTTCAACAAGAACACCAATGCAACCTCAAGAGAGAAAGAAAGCCTCATCAATATGCACTGGTGGAGGGGTTCAAACCCTGCTGTGCTGGCCCCCGCCCCGCCCCCCAGGGTA